GTGTGGACGGGGAGGGCTCTGGGGTGCAAGTCCCACGACCAGCGCACCTTCTGCTCAGCGAGGCTGTGCCGGCCAGCCCGACGATCAACTCGTTTCAAACAGCACTGAGTACCACAGATTCCAGCACCGGAGGGGTTTGGAGAGGAGCTGGGAGTTCGGCGGAATCAGACGCACTAGAGAGCACAGCGAGCCTGGGGCTCGGGGCCGGGCCCCCAGGCAGGACACGCGGGGCTTCTGGCCAGCGCCCGTGTCCTGGGAACGTGGGGACAGGGCACAGCATTGGTGGGTGGCGGTGGGCCTGCGCTGCCGTCTGGACAGGGCGAGCACGGAGCCGGTTCTGCCAGACCCACCAGGAGGAGGAGGATGGTGCTGAGACTCCAACTCAGGGGGCGGCGGGGCCAGAGTGGGACCACCCGGGGGCAGCAGGTCTAGGGATGCGGAGGCTGCAGCCCCCGCTGGATGGAACCCTGTTCAGGAACAGGGTGGGGAAGCTGATGAGGGCCAGCATCCCACCTCCCTGCAGCAGCAGTTTCATGGCTGATGTGGCCATCAGTCCCTGAGGGGTTTCCCTCGGGGTTCAACTCGGTGTGTGTGTGTGTGGGGGGGGGCGGTGTCTCTGCACCCAGGCTGCCCTCAGCTGTCCGGGAGCCCAACGGTGCCTTTGGCTCCCGTCACACTGGCTATCCCATCAAATGTTCGCCTGTACACTTGTCACCTGTCACCTTAGCCAGGGCACGGCCCTCCCCGGTCGGCGTGGCCCACAGCTGTCAGGCATAAACAAGCAGCTGCAGATGGGGGCGCCCCGGGCTGCAGAGCAGCTGTCAGGGCATGAGCAAACAGAACTGCCCCAAGACTGGGAACAGAAATCAAACCAGCAGGATTCCTCACGCTGGCCTGGCACGCCACAGGCTGGGGGCTCCAGACGCCACTGCCGGGGAGAGGTCCCGCTGGAGACATGGAAGGGAACCTGAACGCACCACCCCGAACACACCGCTCTGGCCCGGGGAGGGCTTTGAGCTGAGGGCAATGAAGGGCCAGCAGACACAGGAGGGGCGCTCCGACCTCCCCATCTGCCTCACAGCAGGCCCCGCCCCCGTGCAGGGATGCCGCTTGCACGTCCCAGGGCGGAGGACGCAGAAGGTGTGCCCTGCAGACCTCACCACGCAGCCCTCACCTGCCCTGAGTTTCCCCCGACAGTTAGTTAGCTGCCTTCCCAGACTGACCGTCCCTAGAAACTCAGCCCCCGCTCTGCCTTGTCACCGTCCCACAACTTCTCTCCCTCTGTTAAAACACAAGTGCGGGGGCGGGGGTCTCCCCCTCCTGCTCGGCCGTGCTGTTCCTGGGGGCCCAGTTGACCACCCTTCTCTGCTGTTAATCTCCCCTGCTGTAGCTTATTCCCAGGCTGCAGACAGGGAACCTCAGAGGGCAGAGGGAAGGTTTCCATCCTGCCCTCCTGTTTCGGTCAAGGGTACGCAGAGCAGGTGCCCCGAGTGACAGGGCAGTGGCCCCAGACCAGGCTGGACAGACACCACAGAGACACCCTTCCCGGCCTGGCGCGGACGCTGGCGCAGGCCAAGAAAAAGGGAAGCTGGAGGTCACCGTGAGGGGGCCACAGATAGGAGGGGTCCTGGGCTGCCGGAGCCTCGCAAGGGCAGTGGGTATTGTGGGGGTCGCGCGGGGGGCAGCTCTTTGCAAAGTGTGTTCACGGTTTGATTCTGGGCATGGGAAGGCGGGCTCTGGTGCCTGACCTGGAAGCAGACCTTTGGGCCTTTGCCCTCCAGCCGCGTCAGGGCCTGAGCCACAGAGCCAGCCATCTGGGCCGGAGAACCACCGGCAGCCTTCAGCACCCCGCCCCCAATCACTCTGCTGTCACCCCCACGCCAGGACCCCCAGCTCTTTCCTTCCTGCTCTCCAATCCCATTTCTCCTATCGGGCCTCCGACCCGAGGGGAGCGGGGCGGGGGCGCACGCGTGTTTGTCTCGGCCACACCTTCCGCCGCGGTTGCGAAGGTGTTCCATCCAACAAGAGCTCTTAAAACAACGGACAATGTTTCCGTCCTCCCCGTTGCTGTCCTTGGCTCCTCCTCTGGTGGCGACGGGGCAGGGGTGGACGAGAGGGCCCCTGGCTTCGAACTGGACCGAGCACCGGGACGCACAGGGGCGGGCGGGAAAAGCAGAGAGGCGCACCGAGTGGGTGGAGGGCTGTCCTCCGCGACCCACTCGGTCGTGGGGGAGGAGAGCGCTTGGGCCCCACGGGAGGCTGAAGCATTTCTCCGATCTCTTCTCTCTTCCTCCCCAGCCCCCAGGGAGCAAAGGTCCGCCGAGAGATGGGAGCCCAGCGGGGGGGAGGAGCACGCACCGCCCGGGGCGCCTGTCCCGGCGCGCACCCCTTCCTCCTCTCCCCGCGGCTCCGCGCTCTCACTTCTGGGTGCGTGCGCTTGTCCTGGGTCAGGTGAAAGTCACCACCGCTCTCCACCGAACACCCTACGTTTTGCTAAAGGGGAAGCTCGCAGGTGTGGTGTGAGGATCAATGAGACCACCTCCGAGATGCACCCACCAGGCCCTCCCGCCCCCACTGCCCGCTCCCTGGGCTCCTCCCAGGCTGGGCCCTGACCGGGGACCCTCAGGGCTTCGGGGACACTGGCTTCTCCACAGCCACGAGGACCTCCTCGCCTCCTGGACACCTGGGGCCCCGCACAAGCACCATGCCTCCAACACGCCCACGATCCCATCGGCACCAGACCTGCCACTGTGGGCCGAGGTCCGCCGGGAACGCTGGTTACAACCCGGCCGCCATCTGGCCTCGCAGAAGCCCCCTGACCCAGCGGCTGGGAGAGGTCCCGCTCGCTGTTGGACGGATGTCCTCGGCGTCCGCACTGCCTTCTCTGAGGCACTCTTGTTCAGCAGCGCTTCTTGCCTCCACGCCCTCCCCCAAGTGGAAATTTCATTTGCGTCTGTTTTCACTTCTGATCATTTATTTAAGACGTCTGCTTTATTCTTCATGTGGTTTCCATCGGCTGGCTGAAAACTTGCAGTAGTGCCATGCTAACTTTTATATATTATAACTGATCCCTGGTGTTCCTTTTTCTTACATTTATCTCCCATAATTTTCCATTAAAACAACCTGGTTCCTGTTAAAAGAATATTTCATAGTACTTTTGGTGTATAAAAGAAGTCAAATTTCAGTTTCTGGTTTACAAAAACTGAATAAATGATCTCTCTACCTGGATAGTAAGTCTCTTTATGCCTGAATATGTCTAGAGCCAATAAAAATACCGAGTAAAAAAGGAAACGGCAGGATTAGACAGTAGCATATGCTCCCAAAGGTAATTGTCTTAAAGATGCTGTTTCAAAATTCCATGAAGAAAAAGGGCAATTAAAGCGTATTGCGTGTTAGGCGTTCTCCCTTCTTCAAGTCGAACAAAAACGAGAGGAACTAAGGAAAATGTGAGAGTGAGGCGTGGCCATAAATGAGACTGACTCGTCAGTCATTTCTCAGCCACTTGGTCGCCTTCCGACATAAGCGGTAGTTGTGTGTGTGTGCGCGCGCGCGTGTGCGTGGGGGAGTGTGTGTGAGCGCCGCGTTACACACGGGAGCTCCCGAAGCCCCGCCCCGACCTCCGGAGACAGCCACCTGGTACTTGCTCCCCGGGGCCGGGGGCGACAGTGTCCGAGTTCCCACCCAAGAAAGTGCGGGGATCTGGGTGCTCGAGGGCTGCCAGTTTCATTTCGAAAACTGTAAAATGCACGTGTGAAAGCTTTTTCCTGGCTTTCCCACCATGGACCAAGGCGAGGCCCAGCCGGTCCCGGGCCAGTGGGAACGACCCTTCTGCTGTGCCCTTTCTCAGCTGACCCCGCTTCCTCCGGGGACTTTGATTGACGGGAGGCTGAAGACTGCAGCCACGGCCGCGGAGGGGCCAACGCGAAGGCCACTGTCCCAAACGGTCACTTCAGCCTGATAACCCCAGCGCGGCTGCTCCTTCAACTAGCAAAGCACCCGGCACACCTTGTGTGCATTGGCGTCGACACCGACTGGTGCTGCGCCCACCCTTTCCAATGGCTGGCAGGCGGGCCAGCCTCACACTTGGGTAAGGAGGCCCGGTTTACAGGTCCGGGGGCTCCTTTCTCGGGACTGAAAGGCCTTCCACCTCCGCGTTCCCGCCGCAGCCTCTGCGGGGAGCAGGGTCAGGGCCACGCGGCTGCCTTCCCGCCCGGGGCAGGCAAAGGGTTTCCCCAAAGAACCCAGGGGCCGGCGCAGAGCCGAGGTCTCCTCGGGCAGCTCCGAGGCGCCTGCCCCCGGATTTTCCGGTCCCCCTGGAGGACCGAGGAGCGGAAGGCAGCACTGGCACGTCTTCGCGGGGACGTGAGCGCAGCCCGGCAGGCCTTGGCTGTGACCAGCGTTCCACAGCCCCGGGAGGGAACAGCAAGCCAGGAGAACCGGGGGGGGTGCGGGGGCGGGGGGTCCCAGGGGGCCGCCAGCTACTTTATCACTTGCTCAGACTTTGACATTTGGGACTTCCTAATACCCTAGTTCAAGACACACAAAATAAGCAAATCCTCCTAAATTAGGACGCCTTCTACAGCCGCACCTCTGCCCCTCGCCCTCCCGTTATTATTTCTAAGGCATAAATCAGACCACCGCCCCTCAAAGCCATCGGGCGCGCGCCGCGAGTGCAGTGCAGTCCAGCACCAGCCGCGGGGACAGACGCCATAGGCGGGGACACACCCGCGCCCGTCGCCGCCAGACCCGGGAGAGGCAGGTGTCCCGGTGTCAGGAATCAACAGAACTTCTGCTGGCGCTCGCCGAAAGCCTTTTCCCCAATAAAATGACCGACAGGCCAGTCCACCCCTTCCCTGACGGTCCTGTGAACGGGGACGTCTCTGCCGAGACAGGAGCGACCGCTCGGTGACCTACATATGGACACCGGTCCCCGGGTACCTCGCCGCCTCCGACGCCGACCCCCAGGAGCCTCCGGAGCCTCGCGAGCGGCCCGTACGCACCTGCGCTCCGCGGAGGGTCCCGGGTTGGAGCAGCCGCGCACCTGCCGCCCGGCTGGGGGCCGCGCGTTGGGCCGCGGGCACTGGAACCGCCCTCCGGGTCCGGGACGTTCCGCCGACCCCGGGGGTTTCAGCTCCCCCGATCCCGCGGAGGCCGGGCAACGCCGCCGGTCCGCACAGCCCCGCCGCCGCTCGCCGGGCGCCGCTCACGCGCGGGCTTTGTCTCCGGTGCCGCGCGCGCGGGGGGCCAGGCCGCTTGGCATCGTCCCCGTGGGCGCGGGCGGCGGGCGGGAGCCCGTCAGCGCTCGCCCGCCCTGGAGAGGCAGCGGGGGCTGAGCCTGGGGCAGCGAGCGAGGCCGGCCGGACGCCGAGCGCCTGTCCGCTGGGCCCTACGCACCGCTCGGAGGCGCGACCCGGCCCCGCCTCCCTCCTCCGCGGTGGTCGCGGCCGCTCCGCAGCGGGGTCTCCCCGGGCGCCCGGGAGGGGCTGGGAAATCCCGCCCGCCGCCGACGTCACTGGTGCGTCACCGGGGCTCCCGCGCCGGGGCTCCGCGCCCCCCGCGCCCCGCCTCCCGTGCCCCGCCCGCGGCCGGCGCCCTGCTGCCCGCGCCCTTCGCCCCCTAAACTGCCACCCCGCTCGGCCCGCATCCCCCGCCCGGCTCTCAGCTCCCCTCGCTCCTCGCTCGGCCTGCGCCCCGGACCCCGCCTTCCATCCCCGCACCCTGCGCCCCCGGTCTGGCTCCCAGCGCCCCTCGCCCTCTGTCCGGGCCCCGCGACCCGCCGAGCTCCTCGGCCTGGAGCCCGCCCGGCACCCCGCCTGCAGCGCGCGCCGCCCAGGCTGGGGGAGGGGAGGTGGGGAACCGGTGCTCGCGGGTTCCGCGACCAGAGCCTCCCGCAGCCCCCCGCAGCCCCCTTTACCTGCGGGTTCGGTCCAGCGACTCGCCGGGCTGGGCGCGGCAGCTCACACGCAGCACCTGGGAATGCGTAAAATCCCCCCACCCGTCGCCCGGGGCGGTGACACCTGTGCGTACTGGCACTTACAGGGGAGGCACAGGCCGCCCGGACTTCGTGACGGCAAGTACCGGGGGCGCCGGGCCGCGGAGGGCCGCCCCGAGAGTGAGAGCCGCCGCGTCTCAGAGGCGGGAACGCACGCCCGATGTTCGTGGGGACCAGGCGAGGCTCGGCGCAGACCTGCGTCTGGCTTTTTTTATTCAGCCTGAGACACGTTCGGTGCCGTTGAATGGACTGTTTAGGTCGTTTACTTTTATGTAATTATGATATGGCTGGGTTTATTTTATTTGTTGAATTTATTGGGGTGACGTTGGTTAGTAAAATTACATACGTTTCAGGTGTGCAATTCTATCATGCGTCATCCGTGTGTTGTGCTGTGTGTTCACCGCCCCAGTCAGGTCCCCTTCCGTCCCATTTTATGCCCCCTTACCCTCCTCTGCCGCCCCCACCCCTTGCCCTCCGAGATCACCTCGCCGCCCTTGTCTCTGTGAGTTTTTGTTTTTTGCTTCCTCTCTCCACCTTTTTCACCCAGTCCCCCAAGTCCCCTCCCCTCTGACATCTGTCAGTCCGTTCTGTAGCTGTGATTCTGTCTCTATTTTGTTAGCTTATGTTGTTCACTAGGTTCCACATTTAGGTGACATCATAAGGCATTTGTCTTTCTCTGACTGGCTTATTTCACTCAGCAATAATGTTCTCCAGGTCTCTCTGTGCTGTCACAAAGGGTAAGATTCCCTTCTTTTTTTACCGCTGAGCAGTACTCCATCGTGTAAATCTACCACAGCTTCTTTATCCACGCATCTCCTGCTGGGCACTCGGGCTGCCCCCAAGTCTAGGCTATTGTAAACAATGCTGCAAGAAACATAGGGTTGCATATATATATTTTTTGAATTAGTTGGTTGTTTTGTTTGTTTGTTTCTTTGGATAAGTTCCCAGAAATGAAATTGTTAGGTCACAAGACAGCTCATTTTTAATTTTTTGAGGTAACTCCATACCGCCTTGCACAGCGGCTGCGCCAGTCTGCATCCCCGCCAACAGTGCACCAGGGTTCCCGCTTCTCCACGTCCTCGCCAGCACCTGCTGACTGCTGACGTAGTAATGGTGGCCATTCTGACCCTTGTGAGGGGATATCTCGTTGTGGTTTTGAGTTGCATCTCTCTGATAATTAGTGATGTTGGGCATCCTTTCATATGTCTGTTGGCTATCTGTACGTCTTCTTTGGAGAAGCATCTATTCGGGTGCTTTGCCCATTTTTTAATTGGATTCTTTGTTTTTTTTGGTGTTGAGTTTTATGAGTTCTTTATACATTTTGGACATTAACCCCTCATCAGACATATCATTGGCATATCTCCCATTCAGTGCATTGTCTTTTCATTTTATTGCTGGTTTCCCTGGCTGTGTGCAAACTTTCTAGTGTGAGGTAGTCCCATTTGTTTATTTTTTTCTTTCCCTTGCCTGAGGAGATATGTCAAAAAAAAATACTGCTATGATAACTGTCCACTATTTTATTGCCTATGTATTCTTCAAGAGTTTTTATGGCTTTGAGTCTAACATTTAAGTCTTTAAATCATTTGAGTTTTTTCTTGTGAATGGTGTAAGAAGGTGATCTAGTTTCATTTTTTTTGCACACATCTAATTTTGCCAACACTATTTATTGATAGATTGTCCTTATTTTACCCCATTGTATATCCTTGCTTCCTTTGTCCAACATTAATTGACCATAAAGGTGTGGGCTTATTTATGGGCTTTCTATTCTGGTCCATTAATCTATGTGTCTGTTTTTATGCCAGTACCATGCTGTTTTGATTACTATGGACTTGTAGTATAGTTTGGTATCAGGTAGCATGATTCTTCTCACTTTGTTCTTTCTCAAGATTGCTGTGGCTATTTGGGGTCTTTTGTGTTCCCATAAACATTTTTGGAATATTTGTTTTAGTTCTGTGAAATATGCCATTGATATCTTGATAGGAGTTGTGTTGAATCGATAGATTGCTTTGCATAGGATGGGGCTTTTAATGATTTAATTCTTCCAATTCATGAACACGGTAGTGCTTTCACTTATTTGTATCTTCTTCAATTTACTTCTTCAGTGTGTTACAATTTTCTGAGTACAGGTCTTCCACATTCTTGGATAAATTTACTCTTAAGTTCTTTTTGATGCAATTGTAAATGGGATTGTTTTCCTAGTTTCACTTTCTGATAGTTCATTATTCTTGTATAAAAATGCAACTGATTTCTGGATGTTTCTTTTGTATCCTGCTACATGACTGAATTTGTTTACCAGCTCTAGTAGTTTTGGGTAGAATCTTTAGGGTTCTGTATATACAGCATCATGTCACCTGCAAATAAAGACAGTTTTACTTCTTCATTTCCTATTTATATGCCTTTCATTTCTTCTTCTTGCCTGACTGCTGTGGCTAGGAGTTCCAGTACTCTGTTTAATCACAGCAGTGAAGGCAGACATTCCTGTCTTGTTCCCGTTCTTAAGGGAAACACTTCTAGTTTTTGCCCATTGTGAGTGATGTTGGCTGTCGGTTTGTCATATATGGCCTTTATGATGTTGGCATGTGTTTCCTCTACTACCACTTTGCTAAGGGTTTTTATCATAAATAGGTGCTGGATTTTATCAGGTGCTTTTTCTGCATCTATTGATATGATCATATTATTTTTATCCCTCATTTTGTTCATGTGGTGTATCATATTTATTGATTTGGGGTATCGTGCCAATCTTGCATCTCTGGAATAAATCCCACTTGGTCATGGTATATGATCTTTTTAATGAATTGCAGGATCTGGTTTGCTAATATTTTGTTGAGGAATTTATCATCTATGTTCATCAGGGATGTTGGTCTATAATTTTCTTTCTTTGTAGTGCATTTGTTTGGTTTTGGAATTGGGATAATGCTGGTCTCATAAAGTGAACTTGGGAGTCTTCTCTCCTCTTGAATTTTTTGGGATAATTTGAGGACAGGTGTTAGTTCTTTGAATGTTTGGTCAAATTTCCTGTGAAGCCATCCACTCCTGGACTTTTGTTTGTTGGGAGTGTTGTGATCACGGCCTCAGTCACGTTAGTTGTGATAGGTCTAGTCAGGTGTTATAATTCATCCTGACTCAGTTTTGGAATATTGTATGTTTCTAGGAATTTATCCAATTCTTCCAGACTGTGCAATTTGTTGGCATATAGTAGTTCATAAAGTTTTCTTACAACCCTTTGTATATCTGTGGATCCCCCCACAGATAGAGCAATCCTGGATGTAGGTCCTTGCTTTTCATGGCTTCAAATACTTCTTTTCCAGCCCCTTCTTGCCTGCAAGTTTTCTTTTGAGAAATCAGCTGACAGTCTGGTGAGAACTCCTTTGTAGATAACTGTCTCCTTTTCTCTTGCTGCTTCTAGAATTCTCTCCTCATCTTTAATCTTGGCAAATGTAATGATAATATGCCTTGGTGTGTGCTTCTCTGGGTCCAACTTCTTTGGGACTTTCTGAGCTTCCTGGACCTCTGGAAGTCTATTTCCTTTGCCATATTGGGGAAGTTCTTCATTATTTTTTCAAATAAGTTTCAATTTCTTGCTCTTCCCCTTTTCCTTCTGGCACCCCTGTGGTTCAGATGTTGGAACATTTAAAGCTGTCCCAGAGGTTCCTAAGGCTGTCCTTGTGTTTTTGAATTTTCGTTTCTTTGTTCTGGTTAAACATTTATTTCTTCCTTCTGCTCCAAGCTGTTGACTTTAGCCCGTTTCTTTCCTTTCACTGTTGGTTCCCTGTACGTTTTCCTTTATTTCACTTTTCATAGCTTTCACTTTTTCCTCTATTTTGTGACCATACTCAACCATTTCTGTGAGCATCCTGATTACCAGTATTTTGAACTCTGCATCTGATAGGTTAGCTATCTCTTCATTGCTTAGTTCTTTTTCTGGAGCTTTGATCTGTTCTTTCATTTGGGATATATATATATATATATATATATATATATATATATATATATATATATATATATATTTTTTATCTTGGCATGCCTGTTACATAGTAGGGGGTGGAGTTTTAGGTATTCGCTAGGGTGGGGCAACCTACATTGCTGCATTGTGGTGTAGCATGAGAGGGAGGGGTCTGAGAGGGAACAGTGTCACTTGCTC